AAGCGAGAGATAGAGACTGGCAGAGAAAGAGAGAAAGTCCACAAAAGTATAGGAATTAAGAAAAGATGATATTGGAATAAAGATAGACTAACATGATGTTGCAGATTTGAGAAACATCGTTTTTGCTTAAACTGCAGGCCATTTGCATTTTCTAATGAAATACTCGATGCATTTCCAGGTGAAGTTCCTTTACATGCCAGGCAGTGGTTCCAACTGTTGAACTAACCAAGTTCAGTACTTACATATCCAAGTCTAAAGACAGGGAAATTTTTATCTTGTCCTTTTGTTCAGATTAATAATTGCATCTACTTTAAATGTATAGATTCTTCACCTGATAAATGGACATCTGAGAGTTGTATGTTACATGTATGAAAGATGTAAAATATGTAATGTGATAATATTTGCTTATCAAGAAACTAACATACCACTTAAAAATAAGTTCATCACTACCCAGTCAGATGATTAAGGCCACCATCCAAAATAAGTCATATTGATATGTGCTCTTAGAGGAAGCCATTTTATCTCTGTGGCTCCCTCCCCAAACCCACATGCGACTCTAACCATGAGAAAGGCATCAGACCCAAACTGAGGAATAGTCTAGAAATACCTCCTTAAATTTTTCAAAGTCTTTAGAAACAGGGAAAGTCTGAGAAACTAGCCCAGAGTAAAACCCAAAGAAATGTAATGGGGTGTAACTAATGGAGTCACAGAACAGAAAAAAAGACATAGCTAAAATTTTGAGAGTGATAATGCTTAATAACAGTGTGTCGATTTTTGTCTACTATCAGGGAATCGGTGCACCAGAGTCAGGTAAAATGTTAATAAGAGGGGAAACTGTCACTACTTGTTTTTCAGGGGACAGGAGGAGAGTGAGGTGAGGGTGTTCACTCCCTGGATTCCCTTCTTGATTGTGTCCCTCTGTCAAAGGCTGCCTCCCTTCCAGGTTTGGGAAACCTTTTTCCCCTTATCCCTCAGCTGTACTGTTACCAGCCCCAGGTGACTACACTGCCCTGTGGGTTCCCTTCTGCCCACACCTTGGAAATGACCCCTTTATAAGCAAGCCCTCCTCCCAGATCCTCACTGTGCTGTCTGTCTTCTGTGAGGTCCCTGCTTCTCAAGCCTCAGGACTCTGGCTACCTAAAGCAAAGACTCCACTGTTTCCCTCCGTGGTCCATTCTGCTGATTAATCCCACCAACAGGATTTCACCAACTCCAAATAGAATCTCCTTTACTTCCAGATAGAATCTTCCTTCTCCTTAAAAGCCATTTTCTCTTCTCTGTCTTTCTGTGATCATAAAAAAATACCTGCTCAAATTTTTTATCATGAGAAACCTCTATATAATTCAATAAAGTGATTAATCTCCTTCATCGTTTCTTTAATCCAAATTTCTAAACTTCTTTATTCTTCCTAGACTCCTCTGTTATTCCTTTAACCACACCCAAGTATGCATTGCCAGATGACTGGATACACAAGATGTACTGTATCTTACAGTGGAACCTTATTTAGCCTTTTTTTTTTTAAAAAAAAAAAAAAAAGGAAATGGCTGGCACATCCTACAACAGGAAGCCTTGGGGACATTGTGCTAAGTTTTTTTATTTTTTTAAGTCACAAAAGGACAAATACTTTATGATTCTACTTATTTGAGGTATCTAGAATGGGCAAATCCATGGAGACAGAAGGTAGAGTCACTATTGCCAGGGCTGGAGAGAGTGGGGGATGGGTATATACAGTTTCAGTTTTCTAAGAGGATTAGAGCATTGGAGATGGATGGTGGAGGTGGTTGCACAACAGCATGAACGAACTTGATGCCACTGAACTTCAAACTCACAAATGGTTACAATGGTACATTTCGTTATGTGTCTCTTGCCAGTTTTTTTAATTTTTTAATTGAATTTGTATTTCATACAGAACATCTTAATCAATCTTAATCGTCTTTATAACCCCTTTCCCACCGACACTGTCCTATAGCTCCCCACCCCACTGGAATTCATTCACACCATCATTTGTGTTAAGGCCTATCCAGGTTAGGGTCCCCAGACATCCCTCAGTGCAAGTTCATCCACTGGAGTCTATTACCACAGTTTTATAGTAAAGTAATGCACGAGGAGGACATGGGAGATAACAGAGGTGACAATGGCTGGAACTGCTGAGTAGGTGCTGCTGGGGAGCTCAGAGGACAAGGAACTCCTGAGCTGCTGGGGACCTCAGATGCTCTTTCTTCATGGAGAGAAGTTGCCCCCCATCCCAAGCTTATCTGGAGAGAGGAATGGCTGCAGGGACATGAGAGGGATAGTAAAGAAGCAAGTGCAGGTCTCCCAGGCTACATGGATTCAGGAAAGGATTCAGGACAAACATCTATAAATCAGAGAAGATGGGGTCGATGAGGACTAGCTATTAGTCATTTTAGATGTTTTGTGTATGACTAATTAACTCCACTTAGACAGGATCCAGCCCTCCTATGAGTGTGCTTTGTCCAAGAGCTTTGTGGCCACAGCTTAGTGGACCCTCTCTCCTGCCCTGGGCATTTCCCACCACTACTGCGCCTTGGCAGTACAGGAGCCGGGTAGAGCATGTTCACGTAGGTGGCCCAGATCACAAGTTAAATCATCTCAGAGAGCATCAGTCCTATTCTCTATTGCTGTGATAAAACATTGACTGAAAGTAACTTGGGGAGGAGTTTATTACATCTTACTTTGCCAAGTGACAGTTAATCACGGAGGGAAGTCAGAGTAGGAACTCATGGCAAGAACCTGGAGGCAGGAACTGAAGCACAGACCACTGGGGAACACTGCCTACCAGCCTGCTCCCCTGGCTGATGCTCAGCCTGCTTTCTTATACAATACAGCAAACCCAGGGGTGGCCCAGTCCAGAGTGAACTGGGCCCTCCCACATCACTCAACAATCAAGAAAATGCCTTGAAGATGTGCACACAGGCCAGTCCAATAAAGGAAATACCCCAGTTGAGGTTCCCTCTTCCCAGGGTATGTCAAGTTGACGATGGAAGCTCTCCAGCACAAAGCTCTAGTAAGTTTCCTCCAAAACTTTAACTTCTCAGAGTAGTTGTTGATACATTTGCAGAGCATGGGGTTCAGAGGTCTGGTGAGGGGACAAGGCATGAGAGTGAAACTGATTCATCCTCCCGATTGTCTCTACCTCATCTCAGGCCCCTTGCCCTCTCAGACCCCAGAAGCCTCTGGCTCATAGACACCCTGAGGCTGTTTCTCCTTGGTGTGCTGGCTAACAGGGGAGAATCCCTGGCAGGTGGCTTAATATGTGATAGGAGAAGGAACCAGAGATGTGTTCTGCAGAATGAAGGAACCCCCAAGGCTGCCCAGAACAAAAGGAGAAACTGCATCATTGGGTCTGAGAGGTGTTAAGCTGGTGGCCTGGGGACAGTAGATGCTCCAAGTGGTGAGCTAAGCCCTGGTGACTTGGGACCCCAAGAACGATCCCATTACATAAGCTTTCACATCTGTGAGCTTTAAGGAAGGATTATGGATTATATGCCTTTGGGGCAGAGTCCTCCGGGCCACATGTTAGAGAGTATGTGTATTTGAATGGACAAGATAAGATGCAGCAGTGTCTCCAGCAGGTCACAGGCATCTAGTGGGAGGCACTTGATGGTTTAGGCCTTGAGATAAGAGACGATGCTTCATTGAGCTGGGTCCCCACAGCACTTCTCAATGTATGATCTAGGGATACCTGAGATCTACAAGGGAAACTTTTAAAATACTAATAATTGTTTGCTTTAAAAAATAAACTTCATTCCCTTGTGTGTTCAGTGGGTTTTTCTAGAATGACTAAACATCTGCCAACTCGTCATTATGGTAGCATCAGGTATGACAATAGGAAGCTATGAATGTGGCCCAACATGTATTTGAAACATGAGAGAGGGAGAGAGAGAGAGAGAGAGAGAGAGAGAGAGAGAGAGGGAGAGTATGTCTGGTGTATGCATGTGTGTCCACAAACATGCTGTCACCCGAGTTCTTTTAGGGTCCCATGCCCCTGACGTGGGTAGACAAACCACATAACACATGTGTATCTGAATTTTGCATAGTTTATCTTTTGGGGGGGGTGACTTACAAAGACGCGAACACCCGGTGCCCAGCCGTGGCTCAGTGGCCCACCATTCCAGATCGCTTTTACCCACGGTCTGCCTCATCTCGTGTCTCCGCATGCCCACTCCCCCCATAGAGTTCCATGCAGGGTCCATGGGGTCCTTGTGAGGTCCCCCAGCGCCCCACGGGGTCCAGGGCAGGCTAGCTTGCCTGCTCCCTGTGCCCCGCTTCTCCAAATGACACCAATTCCTCCTCCTTTTGTTCCAATCTCCCACCACGCTAGGCTCCACCCTTCTTCCCAGGGTGCCCTGTGCTTACTCATGGCTCTTCAGAGGAAGTCCGGGAGGAATAAATCAATTTCGGGCTACACATTCCTATGAGAAAGGGTCTCTCACTGAACTTGGAGCTACACTAGCTGTCCAATGAGCCCTCAGATCCATCTGTCCCCACTTCACAGTGCTGGAGTTATAGACACACATACCACACCCAGTTTTTACAAGGGTGTTGGGTATCTGAACTCAAATCCCCATTCATGCATAGTAAGCACTTTACCCACTGAACCACCCCCCGCCAGCTCCATTATAAGATTTCTTTTTTAACAATCGTCTTTGTAACTTGATTGTGCAGTTCTCAAGTGTGAACTTTGCAGATGACAACATTGTATTACTCTGTCAGAAGGTTGGAGTGCCTGGTTCTGATCCCAAGCAGCACAAGTGCTTGCATCTAAACATGTCTTTTTAAACTCACATGGATGAGGACCCTTTGGAATCCTCATTAAGTTTTAAGCACACAGAGGGCTGCTGCAGCCAGAAGATTCAAGAATCACTGGGTTGAGACATGTAGCTTAGATATGACCCAAACCACAGCAGTCAGAAAGACCTGTAAGAAAGCTTTAGAAGCAGACTGCAGTCATCAGCATCTTTTTCTATTTTGTTTTGCAGGCAAAACTGCATAGAAAATCTAATGGATGAAGATGAGAAGGACAGAGCAAAGAGGTAAGCAGGAGCCATGCCCCTGCCTCAGCAGTGCTCGCCATAGGTCTGTCTGTCCAAATCTCACCCTTGCTCCATTTGACAAAACAGGACAGACACTGTGGGCTGTGCCTACACACTCCCTGGAACTCTTCAGTGCAGCTCCTGAAGTTTTGATCCTCGCCAGTGAAGTTATTCATTGTCTGTGATTTGCCAATAAGTCTGTGTTTTCAGGAAGCTTGCATTCAGATGCTTCTGGTGGATGCTAGCCCAGGAGAGATGCTGCTTGGCCTGGCTAATAGGAGCCAAGCCAGCCTGGGTTCAAGCCCTGGCTGTGTTCTTGGGGTGCTGCCTGGCTTTAGATAATAAGGACATCATTGTTACTCTGTCCTTACTCTGTCCACACCCCGCTGTTACTGAATATGTGGTAACTACCCAACCCCGTGCTGAGTACTGTCCTTACATTAGCTCAGTTTCCTCATCCACTTTGCACCACTTGAATTGACAAGAAATACTAGTCTGGGCTCCGTTATGTTGGGGTTCTTATAATCCTGGCTGTGTCTATTCCTTTGTGGGCATGTATTGCATATCTATTCTATACAAGGCAGAGTCATGAAGTTGATATATTGAAGGTCAAGAATGATCAGATGTCATCAACTTTACACAACTCACCCAAGCTGGCAGTCACTATGCTAAACTTTGGGGAAATAAGATGAGCAAGTGGCTTCTGCCCCCGCCCAGGAATGTGCAGGTGTTAGAGCAATGGGAGCTGACTGCAGACCATTAGGGTGGAGGGGGCAAGACAGCAATAGAGCCGGCAGCATGGAACTCCCATCAGGGGAATCTTCACTACGGACCCACAAACCAGCCTCCTCCTTCACACTGTGCCCTGTCCTTTTATACCAGGTGTGCCAGGCTCTCTGTCCCCTGTCACATCCCCACGTGGACTCAGCCCTATTGCACTATTCACCTCTGAATCCAAAAGAGGCAAAACATGCATTAAATCTCTCTCATACTTGCAAATAAGCAAATAAAGACATGCTAAAAAATAGTCTTAGCTAAAAGTTCCTTGAAATAAATCTGACTTCATTTTGTTTTCATTCAATCCTAATCACATTTGATTTGGGCTATGAGCATATCCCCCATAGTTAGTTCTTCATTGCTCTAGCAGAATAACTGAAGCTGGGTACTTTATAAAGAAAAGAGGTTTCTTCAACTCAAAGTTGGGTGGTTGAAGGGCATAGTACCAAGTCAACTGGACTCTGGTGAAGTCCTCCTGAAAGATGGCATCACTGTGTGAGCACAAAGGTAGAAGCAGAGATACAGAGAGCTAGAGATAGGATATGGAAAGAGAGGAAGAGAAGTAAGAGGTGCTAGAGACATGGCTCCACAGTTAAGAATACCTGCTACTCAAGTTTGGTTCCCAGTATGTCAGATGGCTCACAACTGCCTGTAACTCCAGCTCTAGGAGGATCAGACGCCTCTGGCCACTGTGGACACCTCCACTCATGTGCCCACAGTGAGTCATGAAGTGGATATAACCTACCCATACACAGACATCATTTTAAAAAAGAACAAGAAAAAGGGAAGGAGTGGAGAGGAAAAGCATCACATCACAAATACCAAAGTCAGGATCCAGAATTGCCACTTCCCACTGGATATGCCTCTGAAGGGTCTCACTCCCTCTTCACACCATCCCACTGGGGACAAAACTTCCAACACATGAACCCCAGGGGGGCAATCAACACCCAAACCACAGCACTGCCCCATTCCTACAACATCCCTGTTTGTAGGTACCTTTGCATGAGTGCCTCACACAAAAGCCACTGGTCCTCACTCCTCTTACCTTCAGATGGATGGAGGTTTAGAACATGTGTTAGTACCAAAATCTCTTCCAATATGGCAACGGTGATGTGGCGACCTTTCTAATACTGGGGAAACTACACCGATATTACTTTAGATTATATCGTGCAGATTTTGTGGCAGCAACACGGGAGGCCCTTCCCACAGCACACCTGGAAGCCCTGGCAGGATTCCTTTTCATTCATGCCATATTCTTGACAAGATTAGAAATGTTTAGCTTGAGATCAGAACCCTCATTATCTCCTGGAGACATGCTTTGTGTGAGGTGAGACTGTCAGAGCTTTAGGAAATCCATGGCACCTTTAGATTGTTTGATCACATATTCTGAACAGGATATGCCCACTTTCTTCTGTGAATTTCCAAGTAAATCCATTGAGTATTAATTGAAGGTCTGTCATGTGTTCAGAACCATGCACTTTTTATTTAGGGAAGATGTTTAGAACTAAGAGGTCAAGAGAGAATCATGTAATTGGGAGATTTTGTGTGAGGTGTGTGGAGTGTCTGGATAACGAAGTTCATAGTTGGCCATTTTGTGTTGGGTCATAAGCTTGTCTTTCTATTTCAAATGTGATATGTTGGAGTGTGTGTGTGTGTGTGTGTGTGTGTGTGTGCGCGTGTCTGTGTGTGTGTATGTGTGTGTATGCGTGTGTGTTTGTGCATGAGTCTAAAAGATAATGTATAGTCTTCAATCTGACAGAACTGGCTTTGGTGATTGCTACTATTTCTGTCCATTCTTGGACAAGTCTCTAAACCTCTTCACCTCAGTTTCTTCTTCCAGAAAATAGGGATGATAACAGTTATTGCAGGCATTAGATGTGGTTATGTGTAAGTGCTTGGCACAGTTCAGCATCCATAAAGCTGACAAGAACAGCTAAAATACATGGGTCCTTTGGCATGCCTGGGGTACCTGGATTGAGTGCCTTCAAAGTAGGTTATTACTGGTTACCTTTTACAATAGAGAAACCTGAGGTCCTGGAGTTATGCAGCCCACCAGGAGCCACAGGAACCAAATCCCAGCATCCCTGGCCTCCTCTGAAACCCATAAATAGAAGCTGCCCCCCTTTCTGTCTTGCTTTGTGCCCAAGGGGTCAGGAAGGTGAGTGTTGACAGATTTGCTTTTCAAAGAATTGAAGTATACAGCTTTTCAGCAATGTGAAATAGTTTGCTGCATTTGTTGATGTAAATGAATACTTCATGTTCACATTGTCCTTTGACCCTGTATTAAGGGAGCACATAATCTCCTCTCTCCAGTTGGCTGTAAAGTTTCCATAACCCCATGCATTTAGTTGAGGTGGAGAGGGGGTGAGTTGATAGCTTCACTGCCTTTTGTTCAAGAGAATCAAGAATGTCAAGCAAGATCAGCTGATATTCAGAGTTCTCTGTAGAGCGACGGCTGGTTCTGAAACACAAGCTGAACTCTTGTTTATTCTTTGACCCTAATCCTTAGTCTCAACGTGGAAAACACAGTTTGGGTAAGAGGGAGGCACTGAAACACAACAAGCAAGAAGCCTGTGCCCACCACAGGCTTGAGGTGGACGTGGGAAAGGGAAAGCATCAGCCATTCCCAGGCAGGGTATTTCTTCTGGACTCCTCAGGTAGAGGAAAGAGATGTGGACCAATGGCTGGTGCTATCCAAATGCATTTGTTAGCCAAGTCACTTGGTAAACGCGTGGCAGGTACAGAAAAAGACACACAGCATTAACCTGACTTCAAAGAGCTCTCAGGGGAGTTAGGGAGGCAATCATAAAAACAGGGATGAAAGAGAAAAACATCCCGCTGTCTGTTACGCAAAGCCAGAGAGTGAGAGAAGTGTAAGCCTTCTCTGCCAACAGCTTTGTCACTCAGACTGACCTTGTTTCCTTTATGTGAAATCCTATAAATCTGAGTGGAAAGGTTCATACACGAAAGTTGTGGCCAACATGGAGAAGTCCGGGTCCCTGCATGCTTTGCAGAGTGCCCTGCCTGCAGACACCTCAGAATGCAACGGCTGAGCTCTGGGTGCTGCACGCTCCAACTCCAGTTGGATCCCATGGTGCTAATTTTGCTGTGATTTCCTATCACGGGCTTTGGACTGGGTTTTATGTATGGCATCATAAACTCCATCACAAGAAAAAAAATGGCAGTGAGAAATGTTTGAGGCTTCCTCTGTTTGTTTTGATGGTGATTAAGGCAGCGGGAGGCACTGAAAGAACAGGGGTGGTGACAGGACATGAGTTCATTTATATTACCCTGTAATTTCCAGATGAGTGATTCTGATCTCAGAACAAAAGGAAAAGTGGAACTGTGCTTGCAGCAGAATGCTAATTCTTCCCAAGGCCCAGTAAACAGCAGCCTGCAAAAGGGAACTCCCTCTCTGGGAGTTTTCAGCGCTTACCTTGCTGGGCTCTGTTTGTTGGCTGAAGAGAACTGTCATCAGAAACGTGCCTGGACGGCTTGGAAGCCTGGGAGTGTCTCAGCCCAAGGACAACAGAATCTCTTTGGGGGCAAATGAGGCAAAGATATTAAAGGCAAGCTCCACGATTTCAGTAAATTATAAACTGATAACAAATGGCCAGGAGTTCACCTCCTTGAACAGTCTGTTTCTTTGGAAAAGGTTAGATATACCTTTTAGGATTTTAGTGATAAGTTCCTAAGGACCAGGTTCCAGCCACACACTGCCTGTGTGAGCATTAACTAAGAATCACTGTAAAATTAGGCCAGCTTCCCACTGGGACCCAGACGTTCTCAGATAGTGGTGGTTAAAAGTAAAGATGTCCCTGTTTTGTTGCGGGAGGGAAGATCCGCTACTGCTGCTGCTCACAGCCACCCCAATTGCCCACCAAATCTGCAGAAAGAGCACAGCAAGCTACCCACCTTCTCCTTGGAGTGAATGTGGTGCCAGCCTGACCCATCCTACCCCATGTGAATTTTACTTCCATAAAACCCAGAGAACATCTTCAGCCCAGTGGTACCCCCGAATCTGTCTGCAGGATGCTGCCTGAGTCACAGAATGAAGTGTGTGACTGTCACCAGGATGCAGGCCAGCAATGGAGGGACTGCAGTGACCTTCAGTGGAACTTGCTTTTTTCAGGTTACCCAAAAATATGGTGTGAGGAACATTAATTTCAGGAACCCCTCCCAAAACAAGTTTGGACCGTGCCATCTACTGTTCCTTCCTTTTT